ATGTATAATAAATATATATAGAAATTCACTATGACTAAAAGGGTATACTGGAGTTGTGCAGAAGAGGATTGTAACAGTCTTCTTCTTGATCAGCATCAGTAATAAATAATATAAATTCTTATTGATTTAACAACTATCAGCAAGTCGATTATTTAACAGGGTATCTGCTAGTCATGCTCTGTGCCTTCTAGTTGTAGAGCTGTAAGTGTCATTGCCTTCAAGCTGAGCTAAGCACTCCATCTCTATCTCCATCTCTTTTGCCGTTTGTTCTCTCTCTCTCGCACCCTCTCTCTCTCTCTCTCTGTCTCTCTCTGTCTCTCTCTTGCTGCATGATTAAATATTTAATACATTGTTCGATTCGGTTTTTTTTTTTAATGCTTATTTCTCATTTTTGTAGTTTTCGTTTCTGCCCTTTTGTCTGATCGACGCTGGATCGCTCAGTTGTGGGCTTGTAATGTGCTCATTTGGCCCAGAGCAGCAAAGCCAGCAAAGATGGCTACGCGTATTGGCCAAGTTAATGGCGCTTGGCATTTTGTCATTAAATTTGCGTTTATTTCATTGGTTAACTTGTTTTCTTTCCTATTTCTATTTGCCTGTCATTATAAACGCACACACACACACACACACATGTACATTTATACTCGGGGTGTGTGTGTGTTTGTGTGTGTTGATTGTGTTGTGCTGCTTTTTATTATTTTATTATTTTTTTGCTGTATTGTTTCGTTTTTTCAATGCTTCTTTTAACGATCGTGTTTACATACTTGATCCATCTACATACTTCGCCTACGGTATCTCGTCTAATTATTTTGATTGTATCTCAGCCATTTTGTATCCGTGTCTCTTTTTTGTGTGTGTGTGTGTTTGTGTCTGTGTTGTTGAAGTCTTTTGGCCAGCAGATCAGCTTTACTACTTTGTAAACTATTCCACTTTCTTGTCTATTTTTCAGAATTGTCAACAATTTTTCAGTGTTGGCTGAAATATAACTTCAAAATTGTTTAGCTTTTTTTTTTAACATAAGTGCAGCCGTAGAATATTTATCGTTAGGCTGATTTCAAAAGTATCTCACAGGCTTTAGTTGAGTATTATCCCAAATTCAACTTTTTGCGTTTACAAAATTGAATGATTCGATGCTAAAAACAAATTTATTATTTCCAAAGCTTTGTTTTAAATATGTTCCGCAAAGCCTTTAATTGGTTACCTTAACTTCACATAAAAAAAAATACATAAAACGAGCATCAAAAGTTTTCCGTTCATTTTTGCCATAAAATTCAACAAAAAAATATGTTAATCAAATTTGCAATTTTAAAATAAATCGCATGTGGCTTTAATTGCATTTCACGGAGTGTATATATAAAAAATAATTTTATTTAAAGAGTCTAGACATCTGGAAAACGATGGCCATAAAAGAAATGGAAAAGAGTAGCTTTATTCCAGCTATGCTCGTTTGTAACTTACTTCAGGAGTATCAAAATAAAAGTTATTAAAACTTAAATCATATTTATCTACCCTTTATATATAAGTTGCCCTCTTCTTCTATGCATTTTTATTTCATCTTAATCAAACTGATTTAACATTTAAACATTGTTTTGTTTTGATTTTATTTTTGTTTTTTTTTAGCTCTCACAGCGTGAATTTAAATGGATTTTATATAACACTCAATCGATATTCAAGCACTTGGCTTGAATGTTTTGAAGTTGTTTTTTTTTTTTGTTTTTTTTTTTTGGTGTGTGTCAATTTTGTTGCTCGGCAGTAGGTTAATTATAAAATTAACATTAACCTGACTGACAACTGGTCAGCCAAGGTTCCATTCTGCCCCCCCACACACACACACACACACACACACACCCCTGCAACCCCCGCCCCCTCCCTTTTTGGCTTCTTCATATGTGAGAGCTGACAATATGCCAACACATGCGCTGATTTGTGAAGCGGAAGGTGTTCGTCGCATCCAAATATATATTTACCCATAAACAGACAGAGTGACAGCAGCAGCAGCAGCAGCAGCAGCAGCGTCTATGTTTCCACTTCGCCTGTGCCCGCACTCCGCCCCCCTACCCCCTCCCCCATCCCTTCTCTCTCTATGCAACCACGCCCCTGGTACTCGTTTGGGGTACGATAAATTTCACATGACATTATTAGGTGACTCTTTTGTTGTTGTTGCTGTTGCTGCTGTTGTTGCTGCTGCTGCTGCTGCTGCTGCTGCTGCTGCTGCTGCTGCTGCTGCTGCTTCTGGCGTTTGTGATTATGTCATAATTTTAGGAAAATAAAGCGCTCAACCAAAATAAATTAAAAATTGCTTTCATGCATGAATTGGTCGCGGGGGCCAACGGAACGCGAACGAAGATGGAGCTGGAGCTGGATGAGAAGGGGCAGGGGCTGTGGTAGCCACAACGCAAGTACGCTGCGAATCTTTTTTTTTTGGGGGTTATGTGGCAACACCAAGCATTATCCACAGTGTATCCAAATAAAACGTCAGTCAGTCAGTCAGGCAGCTCATCTACGCATCGATCGTCTAATGGAGAATCATTGTATCCATGTATGAGTGCTCCAAGCTCCAAGTGTTTATGGTCGATTTGAAGTTTATAATGGATAATTCAGTGTTGCACTCATTGCCCATCTTTGATATGCTCGAATTGAAATTCAAATTGATATTCAAATGCATTGGGAATGAAGTGCGCAATATTCAATTAAAATCATCATTATTATTAGTAATTTCCTATTGATCACGATCACAAAACGATCGTTCGATCTCCCATTTGATTGATATTCGAGTGGCGATCTCGTCGTCTATTTCTCATACCGGATAGGTTCATCAATTTTCAATTTGTGTGTATTAAGGCAACCACCCTCCCACAGCCACAACCACAACCACCCACTCACCCACTCTACTACTGTCTACTGTATACAATCCGAATGCATCTGGGCTCATAATGAGCCATTATGCAAAACCATATTTTGCTAATGAAGTGGAAAATTTCCACGCACGGACGTCTTTATTAAAAGTAATTAAGCCCGCTGCAATTTTCATTTACATTGTCCAACTGCAAACAAAAAAAAAAACAAGAAAAATGTGGGGTGCCAGCTATGAACTACCGGTAGGGTCAGCTAGTCAGAGAATACTCAGCTTTTTTTATAGGACAGATTAGTTTTTTATTCCTCAATATTTGTGGCATTGATCACCTATTGAAAGGTTCAACTAAAAACCGATTGAAAGGAGAATTGAACTGAATTCTGTTTAGTTTCTATAGATCTTCAAGTTTAAACTCCACTCATATTTTATAATATTATTCCTATGAAACTGGGTTAATATATATATTTATTTATTTAAGTGTCGTTTATTGTAATTGTATTATTTTTATAATATTTCTATACTATATTTATATATTATATATAATAATTTCCATATTCATCTAATTAATTACTTCTTTTATATTTCATTTTTTACATATTGTTGCTTTCATTTTAAATCAATTAATTTTTGATTATATATTTTTCAAGTATTTTTAAAATTTGTATTTTTAAATATTAATTTAATTATTGCTTTACATTTATAAATATATAATTTATTGGTCTCTTCAAATTTTAAATAAAAATAATAAACATTAATTTATTATATTTGTTTATCTATTTACTATCTTATAAGGAAAATAATTACTAAATAAATAAACAAATAATATTTGACTAAGCAGTCAAAAAAGATATAAAAAAAAAGATATTCAATTTTCAACACCTAATTTTTGAGAGCATGCTTTTTTCACCCTCAAAAAACAAAACACTTTCAATCCCTGCATGTATTCTGTAAGTCACTTAAAGTACATAAATAATTGTGGATAAAGTTCATTTCTCATCTAATTTCAGCTTTATTAATTTTGTAGTAACGAGCAATTGTTTGGTTTTCTAAAAATATGCCAATTGTTTTACCCCCAAAAGAAGAATCATTGGTTCATTTCTTTCATGGTTGTTGCTGCTATTTGTGAATCTCTGTTTCGGTTGCTGACCGAATACACACGAGGCAGATTGAGAGAGAAAGAGAGAGTGAGTGAGTAAGAGAGAGAAAGGGAGAGAGAGAGAGTAACCAAAATTGAACTCAAGTGCAGACAATTGAAGCTGTTCGGCGCGCCAAGTCTTTAAGAAGGGGAGTCAAGGGGCGTTCTCCTTTGTAGCCAAAAATTCAAAATAAATAAATACAAATAAAATATTCTCACATTTTAATACCCTGAAACACAAACGGTTAAAAAGGGTTTATTGAGTATATTATACAAATTCTTGGTCAGCCGCGTCGATTTAGACATGTCTCTAAGATCTTTCTCTGAGAAGATCGATATATCGATATAAATCGATTAACGATAGCAACAAGACTCACAATTATAAAGATTTAGTCTTCGCCTTGATATATAATATACCCAGACATATTAATGATCAACTATACCAATTTCGAATAAGAAACTCTGATTTTGTTAGCCAAATATTGATGAACTCTTGCTGAACTTAGCAGCTGAGTGCAGAGCATCTGCTGGTCGAGCGCTCTCGACTCTTACTTGCTTATACAGATTTCATTTATTTATATATTGTTTTTTTTTTTTGCAAGCGGTTATTAATCGAGTCAAAGTACTCGCGACATTTTGTTAATTGATTTCAAGGGGGAAAAAAGGCGCATTTATTGTTTTGCAAATAGATGCCAACTGGGCAACAGAGAAAGAGAGAAAAGGAGACAAAGTTAAAGTGAGAGAGAGAAAGATAGACAGTTACAATTATGCTGAATTAAAACTCATATTGCGTCGCTCTTTGATTCTATTAAGATTGTTTTACCCCAAAGGGGGGCTGCGCTTCGAGGGGGGGCAATAACAATATCAAAGAAGCATTTCAATTGCTTGGCATTCAATTAGTGAATTGATTTGCCGTTTCACTTGCCCATAAGCCCCAGACGTTAACTCTTAACATATGTACACAACTATCCATACATATAAATATAAATATAAATCTTTATATTATATACTCACTTTAGTTGCAGCTCTGTTTTTGTTGTTGTTATTTTTGTCGGTTCTTTGGTGAACTTCTGTGTGATCTGTCGTTGCGATCTGTAAAAATAGACAATGGAGAAGAAAAAAAAACATTAGAATTCGTGATAAAAGTGTCGAATACTATCAAATTTATTGCCGCCTTCGCCCTCGCCTTCGATCGTGCTCAATTTCAATTCGATACGAGACTCAAATCAATAGAGATTTATATGTAGCGGTGTGTCTTTATCTAGCTACCTGGATGCCGTACCCTACCTGCGGTAGTGCAGCAGTCGGCACCTTAGTTTTCGGTTCGCCTTCTAATTGCAGCCACTTAGCACTTGGTGGCTGTAACCACTTGCCTTGCTTGCTGGCCAACATCAAAGTGCACAACAATTGCTGTTGATTTTTCTACAGATTTCCACATTGCATTTTCATCCCAAATATAAATTTCCGGCATGACAGCGTACCTTTTTTCTCTGCCTGAGCTAGGATCAAAAGCAACTGTTGCAGGACCACAAAGCCAAACGGATCGAAACGCTGCAATTGTTGTGACTTGTGACTTATGATTATTGTACATAGAAAGGAAACTCACAAAGGATACTTTAAGTGCCATCATATTTGGTTGTACACTAATCGCTGACATTATGACTTTATTTTCGAAGGCTCATAGCCAACATGGCTTAAAAAGTAACTGGATTCAAACTTGTATGAATACCAACACAGCACGCTTAAGAAATAGTTGCACTGCTCCAAAAAAAAGTCTAGTCCCGGTAAAAAATACACGTAATAAACATAAAAGTAAATACCGTTAAGCAATCGGCCATAAAAAAGCAGCAGGCGAAAGAATAAGTTAAAAGTTGTACAACTTCCACCCAAAAACATAAGAATGTTGTAATCGATATTGATCGACTAGGAGATACCCTGAAATCAGCTCTTATGAATGATAAATGATAAATATAATAAACGATTTTCAAGTAGTTGAAAGTATATATAAAGCCAACTAAAACTGGAACAACTAGTTATAAAATTGAATCTGTGGCTTTTAATGCCATCAGTAATCGATACTTATCGATATTGGGCAACTGTGGGAAGTTATCAATAAAAGGAAATGAACTTAAATGACCTTAATCAAATCGAATTTTATTACTGATCAAGAATATATATATAAGTTTCGGAGATTCTTTCTGTTACATTCTGTCCCACAAAGTTCGTTATACAGTTTTTGGGCATTTTCAATGGATTCAGCGCATAAAAATGCGAAAAACAATAAGCAAACTAATTACAAATACGCGCGGAAATTTCCAAAAAAAAAATATCTTAACACCTCCCAACAACAACCCTCACCCCTTCCCACTGCCCAGACCAACAAGAAAAAGGGTTTTACTTTGCGTATGCTGCAGTTGTGCGGCATGTTTGCGATGGGATGTGGCAAAGCACAGCAAATGGAGGCAGCTGAAAATTATGCGCTGCAATTTTTATTGCTTCATTGTTCTTTTGCGGTATTTTATATTTTAACTTCTGACCGAGGGGGGTGCGGAGTGGGGGCCGGGGAAGTAGGCAATGGGTTCTTTGCATTGTTTGCGCTTTTGTTTGGACGCTTTTTTTCGGGGTTAATGTTAATTACCAAAACTGCTTTGGCACTTGGCTGACCAACAACAACAACAACAACAAGAACAACAAGAACAACAACAAAAAATAAGCAAACCCAAAGCAATTAAAATTTTTATGACGCACTGAGTTATTACTTCAAATCCACAAACTTGAGTAATGCCAACAACGCCTCTGTGCGTAAGGACGTGAGAAATTTTCAACTGGAAACTGGAAACTGAAAACCGAAAAAAAAAAACAAAATAAATATAAGGAAAATCTACGCCCACGACAAAGAAAATGCGAACAAAAAAGACAACAGCAGATATTAAAAAGATTTATTGTTTTATGATATCCAAAAAAAGAAGAAGAAGAAATAAAAGGTAGCTGCAAAGGCATCACTTTTCCCCCCACCACTGCATCGATTTACCTGTGCGGCGCGAGAGAGGTCAAAGGTTGAGCTGCCACCGCAACGGATCGCAGTTAAGGTAGTCTCCATGTACTTGGCTAATACCAATCGATAAATATACATTTATATATATATATGTCTGTCTGTCTGTCGGTCTGTCTGTGTGGTTATCTGCCTGCTTTCCCCGCAGTTTTCTTTAGTGCGCGTAGAAATCGAGATGCTGTAATTAAAGTCTAACTGTCAAAATCCAATAAATTATACAAGTTGCTTGGCTCTCTTTTGGGCATTTAATTGATCATGCCAAACAGTGAAATAGTGATAAAAAACGAAAGAAAAAAAAGCAAATAAATACAAACCAGCTGCGACTTTTTGTCTCTCTTCATTTACATAAAACGATTCGATCTACGAGACTTCAACTTTAAAGTTAGCTGCATGCAAGTGAAATTGTTACCAAAACTCAAGATGTGAAAGTTTATTAATTAGACAAACCACACAAAAAAACAAAACAAAACCAAATATTTAAAAAAAAAACACATGCCAACGCAGAACATAAAATTTGTTTACAAAAAAAGAGAGAAAAAACTTTAAGCTTAGCTATTAAAATCGAAATTTTCAGTGAGCTGCGGGGAATAACCTTAGACATCAATTTGCAGTTGCTTCCAATAATATTTAGTAATTGAAACTAATGAAAAAAAAATTTAAGATAAATAAATAATAAGAGAAGCCAAAAAAAAACACACAATTTTTAAAAACTTTAACTCAAAGTGAAATTTTGAATATGCTAGGGGAATGCCCTTACGATAGATATTTCCAATTGGGCGTCAATACTATTTAATAATTGCAACTAATAAATAAATAACACAGGAACTCCATCTTAGATTACCTATTCAAAGCCAAATCTTCAATAAGCTGTGGGAATACCCCTAAGGATTTGTACATTTGTAATTCTTGTCAGCATTATTTAGTAATTGCAATTAATTAAAAATAATCATATAAATACCGCAAGTCTAAAAAGGAACCCTAACTTGAGAAAACTCACAAAGCGAAATCTTCCATAATTTCTAGGGAATACCTCTAACAATAACATTTGAGAATTGTCCTTGGCATTATTGAAAAATTGTAATTACAAAAATTAAATACATTTTTAAATACTTGAACTCAACTTCGCCTGAAAGCTCTAGGGAATACCCATAATAACCGACTTTGATCATTATCTTATGCATTATTCCATAATTACAGGAAATAAAAACAAATAAATACAGCTAAAGATAAATTAAAGAGGAAGCCCAACTTTTGACAGCTTAAACTGAGTTAGTCACGTAAAAATCTTCAACAAAAAAAAAAAAACAGAAAAATTCAACTAAAAATAGATATTGTTTTTGCATTACTTACTAATTGCAGCAAATAAATAATAAAATACTAATTTGACAAAATTTTAAATCAACTTCTTCAAAAGGAAATCCCCCCACAAGTTGAGGGGAATACCCCTAATAACATACAATGAAGATTGTCTTATGCATTATGCAGTAATTGAGGCTAATAAAAATAAAATTACAATGAGGAAAAAACTAAAACTAAGCCCAACTTTTCAGGGGGTGAATTGGTGTGGGTGGCTTCTGCGGGGTTGAGGTGGTACTTTGAGGCTATAACGAAAGGATATTGCATGATAAGGAGGCATATCAATTACAGTTACACGAGTTCTGCAGCCCGAAAACAACGCGATTAACATAAAAGGGCAGCCAACAACAACAGCAGCAACAACAACAAACCAAAAGTAGTTAAAAAAAAATTAATAGGCGTAATAAGAATAATTGGCGCTGCGTCCAAAAAGCACATGTGTGGCAGGAATAGGGGGCAGAGGGGCAGAGGAGGCAGAGTGTAGCAGTGCGTGTCCTTTGGCTGTCTAAGGGTTGCTCGGGATGTGTGGGGGGGTGGTGGAGGGGTGGAGCAACAGCGTTGAAAGCGTTGACTTGTGACCATTTCATAAATACCGTTATAAACAAATTACGACAACAATAATGACCCAACAGCAACAACAACAACAACAACAACACAAACTAACAACAAACATGTCCAGCAAAGGGATAACAGGATAACAGCAGGATAACAGCACACAGCAGTAGGCAAACAAAAAAAAAAAAAACGAAATACAAAAAAACTATATGAAATTCGTTTTTTATTGCTCACATTTACACATGTACAAAATGACGGCGTGTCCGCACATCCCCCTCCCCCCTATCCCCACCCATCCCCTGCATGCTTGTCTTGGCTTGGCTAACCCTTACCAGCACAACAACACTGAACGAATTTATGAATTTCTAATGAAATTAACCGTAATGCCAACAAAAAAAGAAAAGAAACAGAAATATATATATATATTTATATATACATTCATATGTCTATTATTATTGCCATTATGTTCTACAGTGGTTGTTGCAACGAGCACACAAATTGTTCAGATATAAAGCTCAGTATTGAAAAGAAGCCTGGAAACTATATTTGGTAAATAGCAGAAGTCTATTAAATCTTAAATATATAATATAATAATATAGCTTAATAAAAACTCTCATGCCAAGTAGTAACAAGAGTTAAGTTCTATCTTAGAAACGCTGAAGTTTAGATATCCTTGAGGACTTCCAGATTCACAAAATAAATATAGTACTCCGATATAATATTATGATTAGCCTCGGCTAGTGATTCTGCTCGTGAATATATTTACTTTGTGAGGTCGAAGAGGTCTCCGCTAAAAATGATAATAAGCATGTAGAAAAACCTTACATTTCAGTGATTTGCTTACTTTTTTTATTTAATACAAATAATAATAATAAAATTATTTTCAGCAAATTCAAATTTTAATCAAGCTTTTCATTTCTATTGCAAAATTCGAATTATAATCAAATTTTTGTTTTAATATTTCAATTTTTGTTTGGTTATCACAAAAAAAAAAAAAAACAAAACAAAATATTTGTTTTAAGAATGAAATGTGTTTATTTTTTCAATAAGCGCCATAAAATCTCGTAATATAAAAGCATTGTCAAATAAATAAACGTTTTCGTTGCCAAACTGACCACTGTTCAAATAT